CCGCTCCTACCGCTTGGCAACCGCTGTAAGCTGGTCCTTCCCGGAGAGAAAAGACTTTAAGGATTGCTACGTTAATTAACAATACTTGATTATAAAATAGCTAACTTACTGAAAAAAATAAATGTATGTGCATTTAGTAAGAGACGCTGCCTGAACGGGAATCGCTTTAAAGCCGCAACAAGCCCCTGCCCTTGCACAGCACGCAGGTAAGCCCAGTGTAAACGGACGACGAATTGGGTATAGCACTGAATGAAAGGCTGCGTGCCGTTTTTTAGTTTATAATTTTAGTTTATAGGTTGGGTTTGGTTTTTTTTTTGGGGGGGGGGGGGCCTTCAAAAAAACCCAGGAGAAATAGCAATACTTTCTTTCCTGGATCCAGCTCAATCTGAAACGAAGTCAAACATGGGACACTTTTTTTTTTTAAAACAGCTTCAGGCATAGCAATACATTTTTTTTCCTCCCAACTGATTCCTACATACAAAAGGATGACTAAGATCAGCATTTATGCATTATTCAGAACAGATAAAAATCTTAAAACTCTCTTAAAGAAAGCTAGGAAATGAACTGCTATCAGTAAATTGCTCTTCTCCACTCAAATGCACAGCGATCTTGTTATACAAATTCATGGAGATAAGTTTGTATTTCACACGTGAAAAGTAGACCAAGACAGTTGCAGATAAAACTGCAACCGGTGTAAAAGCCTAAAGAGAATAAAACCTAAGTTGCACATTGACTGTTGTATTCTCATACTTTGCAGACATCTGAACCAAATGAGTTTGACATCATGCTTGTAATGCCTGTTTCAAGACTTCAGCTGGACGAAAGTGATGACAGTGGAGCCTATTATTATCTAACATTCAAAAGAAATCCAAAAGAAAAGAATTTGCTTGAGTTTTTAGATGAAGATGGAAAATTATCAGCCTTTAAAATGCTTCAAGCACTAAGAGAAATTATTAAACGAGAAGTAAAAAACATTAAACGTAAGTACTGAGAGAACAAGCTTCACCTAGGCGCACTGAAAATTCAATTATGCTGCACATATGCATTGCCCTGTTGTTAATGTGATTCCCCCCCCAACTGTTTCTTCATGGCGATGTAGCTATAACTGTAACCCCTCCTGCCCTGGTATCTCAAGTTTGCTCTTGTGCTAGGAATCTCCACAAGCACATCAAAGCTAATCATATTATGTGATCAACCCATTGCTCTGCTATGCAATCCTCTTTCGATATGAAAATAATGACTATTAAGGGTTCTTTCACGTGCTTGGTACTTTCTACGTGACCTATATTTTGAATCTATGCCATATGCAGAGTGCCATTCGCTGAACTGATAGCAAAAGAAAGAGTTTTCTTTTATACATTACCTAATATTTTATAACAATCTATATAGAGAATGTATCCCCCTTTAGGGTGCTCTTCTTCTGAAGACTTTGGAGAAAAATCGTCACCAAATCTCTTCAGTCTCATTGTTTTCAACAGTGAAGCAGTTCACTGGAAAACATTACTGTATTTCTGATTCTGTAGACATAGTAAATCAAGCAAACAGAGCAGTTCAAGAAGAGTGTTCCTTATTTCGGTAGAACTCCTCAACAGGGCTTCTTAATGTTTTGTTTGAAATCCATATCCTGTAGGATAAAGAACCAGTGACTGAACCCAAGTTTTTTGGTTTTTTTTTTTGATTGATTATAAATTCCTCTGAAGTAAAAACCTTACCATTCTTCAAAAGAAGTTCCTGATATATAACTATATATATAAATTTTATCTTTGTTACTAGATGCGGAAGTAACTGTGAAAAGGAGAAAGGCTGGAAGCCCTGCAATAACTCTTGAGATCAAACATTCTACAACACAAATATCAGTGGACATCATCTTGACTTTGGAAGTTCAGCAGAGCTGGCCACCCAGCACACAGGATGGCCTCAAAATTGAACAGTGGCTGGGAACAAAAGTCAGGAGAGATTTCAGAAATAAATCAATTTATTTAGTAGCCAAACAAAACAAAGAAGAAAAGGTTCTAAGAGGTATCTTGAATACAGCCAATAAGTCTAAGTTGTGAAATATCTTCTCTACAACTTGATCACTTACAAGTGCTATAAAAAGAGTATCCAGATTCTGTTCAGTATTTTGCCTTCAAGGTACAGATCTTTGTCTTATCCTGGATATATCCAGATCAAAGACAATTGAAATCCCTCCTTAAAACACCAGATTTGTGACACTGCTTGTCCTGTACTGAAATCTAAAGACAAAATGCTCTGCCAGGCTGTATATTAACCATTCCTAAGAGCATTATATTAAATCTACGGAGTCGGACACTAATACAGACCTTTCCTGTGCTAGTGCTGTAGTTAACAGCAACATCCACTCCTTTGCTTTGTAAGGAAAAAATGAAAGATTTCTAAAAAGGCAGGGAACGCCCCTGTAAGTGGGACTGCACACGCAAGTTACTTCTGCAGGAAGGAAACTGTACTTTTCTAGCAAGATACATTGTTTCTCATTGAACTCTGGTATGGCTACAACATGGGGTTTTTTTTCTTCAGACCACTGTTGCACCAAGCCTACCTTAGTCCGCAGAAATATCCCAACTTCTCTTTGCACGAAGAAAGCTGATAATCTCAACAAAAAGAGTATTTTTAACTAGCATGCCCATCTCAACAATGCCAAATAAATCACTACTGTTCTACTGAGCTACCTCTTCCTGTGAGTAACTGAACGAAACAGGCAAAGGAAACAGTTGAACTTATGTAAAGAAGACAAAAATGATTGCTGGTGTTTTAAAAACAGGATTGAGCTATGTTATCATCATTTTCAGAAACATTACCAGAGGAACAAAAATAAATGTGTTAGAACAGTCACCTCACCTGAGACAAACTCACAAGCCTATTTGTGCAAAGAAATTGAAACCAAGGGTGAAGGTTTTTTTTTTTTTTATTCAAAACCAGAATGGTTATGCAGTAAGGCTAATACAGAACAGAAATTCAAAGGTATAGATTTCTACGGGCAGTACAATTCCCCAAATCATGTTCAACAAATGCAGAAAAGTTCAGAATTAAGTTTAATTTTAAAGTAAATCCAAACACTCTTAAGAATATTGTTAAAGCATCCAAGTGTGTCCTATATTAATAACATTCTAATTGTCTTTGTGTGGAACAGCTGGGAAAATAAGGAGGAATACAATTAATTGTAGTCACAAGTACAAAGAACTTGCTGATATTTAAAATTAAGTCAATTATAAAATGTCTTTTTTTTTCCTAGTTACAGACACTTGTACTTACTGCCATGTAACAATTTATCAATCTTGTACTCAACTTTAGGAAACACCTGGCGACTCTCTTTCTCACACATTGAGAAGGCCATGATCAACAACCACGGCCAGTCAAAGACATGTTGTGAATCTGATGGACCAAAGTGCTGTAGGTTGGTATTTCACATGAATATTTTACTTTAAGCTTGGGTGAGCCATAGTACTGTCTAGCACTGTTTCAGTTTAACATTAATAATTTAATTATAATAGGGAGCAGCAATAAGGCTTTTAGGCACCATTGTTCTACCGCAGCACAACACTGCGTGTACTCGCTGAACATCTGACTTGCAGTTATTCGGTGAGAGGTGGAAACAAATCACTGTGCAGGCTTACGTTCCAGACTTGCCTTAGCAAGCAAAAAGATGCGAGTTGTTAAGTAATCTCTTTCCCCAACTCAGTCCTGTTTAGAAGAACCAGTTTAAAAGTCTGATGACTCAGCTTTCTGAGCTTTAGGAACAAAATTATACTTCATGTCAAGGCAATTTCTAATATGATGGTGAGAAAAGAACTACTGAATGGGATCAGGATGAATAAATGTGATTTTTCACTCCAATAAAAACTGGTTTCCACATTTCTTTGAAGAACAGAACCCACATGAGGTACAGAACCCCCTTAATAGCAAAACAACTTCTTAGTTTACTTGATTACATCTTATACTGAATCAAGAGTCACAAGAGAACTAATGCATAACTGTCTTTGCTTTATATTACTAGACATGCTGTGCCCTACCTAGCAGTGTATTAAACTACATATACACCTCTTCCCCTTGTGGTATGCCACAGGAAGGTAACAGTGTTTTTTTCAGTGTAAATCCAAGCCAAGAGAGCAGCTTTAATCTTAAGCAGTGCTCCAAATTCATGTTATACTGGTAGCATCTGCAGCTGGGAGACTGTACGGTGTAAGCATGCTGCTGACCAACACCTCGTATTTCTGCGGCTACCAGTGAAAGTGCTGCATGCACAAAACCGATCATTTAAAGTAGGGATCCTTCATTGCTAGAGTCTGACTTCCTACGCAGTAGTTCAAGCATTATCCAGCCTATTGCTGCACTTTTACCACATTTTATTCAAAACATTGAAAATGTTATTGTATTAAAGTAAGAACAATTTTATTGCTCTCATGAACACTGTGTATTTTAATATCTGAAATACATATTTAGAACTATGTAGAAAGCACCTAATAAATTCTTATTTATTTAACAGGAAAGCTTGTCTTAAGCTTCTGAAGTATCTTCTAGAGCGACTTAAAATGGAACATACAAAAGAGTTGGAAAAAATCTGTTCATACCATGTCAAAACTGCTTTTTTCCACTCATGTGCCATGTGGCCAAATGACACAGACTGGCATTTGGGAGACCTGGATCATTGCTTTCAGAAATACCTGAGCTATTTTCTGGATTGCCTGCAAACGTCTGAGCTGCCACACTTTTTTATTCCCAAATACAACTTGCTCAGCCAGCAAGATAAAGCAAGCAGTAATTTCCTTTCAAGAAAAATAAACTATCAATTGAACAACAGATTCCCGATATTTCAGGAGAGCGATTATAAACAATGTCTTTAGTACCTATCTAATCATGTGGATTTGCATATGTAAAACCAGAAGTTCTGCACCTTAAGTTACTCCTCAGTAGTCTGACAGTACAAACAAAAAAATATCAAGATGACTAAGAGAAAATTGTGTATTTCAGTCACACTGCTTGGACATAACCCTTAAAAGAAATATGACATTTTAAGTAATATTTATCTTCCCTATCCAAATGCAGATGTCACCTGCAAAATATCTTCTAGGTATACTAAGAACTTGTAGAAGAATTTGCAATAGTTAATTTCCCATATGTAATTTCTACAGTTCCAAATATAAAGGCATCAATGACTAGGAAAAGTGGAAAATGACAATTTTATTTAAAATGAAGACTGATTGCAGAATGTCCAAAAATACACTCTTGCTTTCAAAAGAAAAGAAAACTCACTGGAGTTACTTTGACATAAACCAGAACAACTTCTCCAGATCAACTGGGTGGATGAAGATGTTTTGCAGAGGACAGTCACCAGCAACAGTGAGCAGAAAGAGAAGACAGTATCAAAACAACACAAAGTTCCTGAAGTAACTTATCTTTTCTGAGTCTTCAGAATTGCTTTGGAAATTAGTCTTTTCACTGGACTTCAGATGGGAAGCAATCATTATCTAATGTGCTGCAAGAGAGTAAAAGTCATTGTGCCAGGGAGCATGTGTGTGATGAATCTTGTAGAAAGAAATGAATCTTCAACCCCTACCAAAGAGGAAGAGTCTCCATGTGAAAGGTTATCAAAAGCAAAATTATCAGAATCAGAATTCAGCTCAATTTTTCTTATGTTGAAGAGTGTGTGTATTAGGAAAAAAGAATAATTGTAATATTTCCTATTACTAAAATTGTGCAGGTGATAAGTACACAGCATTTGGGAACTGCTGTGCTGTAAGTAAAAATATCTTTTACTTAAATGAAGCCATGGAAAGTCCGTATTTTTAGCCTACTGTTTGAAGGCGAAATAACCTACCGGCTAAAGTAATGCCCAGATTTCACCTCAATTATGAGCAAATAAAAAAAAAAAAAAGAGGGAAGGCCAGAAGAACATGTAGAATAATTTTACTAAAATATTCTGATCTCATTCAATTCAGTTTATTAGTTTTTCATTTACTCATATGACACTTGAGTAAACACAAGCTCAGACCAAGCATCAAACGAAGGAATTAAACTTCCGAAGAGTGAAACCATACCCCATTATCATTAGGGGTCTGTGTGACAGAACCTGACAGTGAAATGTAAAATTTGAACCAACTTTATCTGAAAGAAAAAGCTGACATTCAAATGTATTTTTTCTTCATGACTTTGTTAAAATTGCTCTAGTAAATTCTGTTTTTCTTCCTTAAGCCAGAAAATGACATCCATGAGAACAAAAGTAGAAGCTGTTTTTCTTCCAGTTAGCCACAAACACATACTTCTTGTTATGCTCTCCTCCATTAGGAGGAAATGCACTTCTCTCAGAAAAAACCTTGAAACCCAAGTCGTAACAAAATTGACTTTCAATGTTAAGTTTTTTTAAAAAAAAAAAATCCAAACACTTTGCTTCAGCAAACATCAGTTTTTGCAAGCAGTAGTTTTTAAATAACTAAATTATCCTTAGAAATACTTCTGCATGCCACTGGCAGATGTGGCCTATCAATGCAAAAAAATACAGTATTTTGAAGCCACACCGACAAACACTGCTTATGTTCACTAATCCAGTTCTCTGAAAATGAAAGGAAAAATTATCTTTTACGTTCTTATATATTAATAGTGCATTTAACTACAAAAAAAACCCCACTGAAAACTGCCCCCCCAGACACCAAACAAACCCACAAGAAAAAAATAATTATTTTTTCTTGAATAAAATAGTGCCCAAGCACAAAACTAGATTTATTTCTATACAAAGTTAATCCAGTTTTCTTTTCTAAGCGACTTTTAAAATGCATTTTATTTAAATGGGATAGGTACAGAAAACAAGCAAGGAAGAAAAGAAACCTCTAAATTCAAGCCTGTAGATGGTAACAGTTAAGTATAATCACTTACTTTGTTTTGGTAACTTCAAAGGATTAGTTACTTTGAGGGCCTTCTTGGAGGTCTTCGTACATCCTTTTCGATTTCTTTTCTGATTTGAAATTGTTTGTATCTTTCTGCCATTGCAATAAGCTCATTAGGAACTACCTGATAAGAAAGCAGCACGAGAACAAGGTCTGTTTTAGAACAAGTCTAAACTTTTAGACTCAGCTTTACAAAAAATGCTATTGATTTGTATGTTCCCAAACTTGTGGTTTTTTTATTTATCTGGCTCCTGTCTCTTTGCAAATTGTCTTTTCTGTAGAGATGCATAGAGAAATCTTTTTATACAAAATTATACTGAAATACACTGAAAAATAATTAGCACAGTGTCTCTGGATTTTCAATGACATATGTATGCTAGTATCACTGTATCTGATGACAACATATAACCAGCTAATTAAAACATTAGTATTTCAGATAGAAATATGGCTTTCAGTGATAATGAACAGCTGGAAAAAATGTCCAATGCTACTTAAAAGGTGATACCATACTACATATATATTTGAATGTGACACTATTATGATTGATACTGAATTCCTTTTGGAAGTTTTAAGAGCCTCTGAAGAGAAACTTAGGTACTTAAAGAAAATGCTCCCATAGGAAGGGTTCTCACGTGGATAAAACAAAAGCTAAAACACAAGAAAAGAAGGGCAGGAGAAAATGGTCACTTCTCCCGCCACTCGGAGGTCACAAGAGCACCTTACCAACATCCACGGTGCTTTCTGGCACATTTATAATTACATGGACCAGGAGGTGAATAGTATCATCAGCACACTGTCACCTCAGAGTTACTAACATTCGTAAGATGTAAATAATTACAGGTAGACTATTTGATTCAGTGACCAGTGTCACTCAACCTAAGAAACAAAAAAAAAATCCCACCCCCCATATACCATTCTTATAGATGACGGAACAAAGGCAGCGTCCAACAAGTCTTCCTGAAACAGATCAGGCATAATGCAGACATTAATGCAATGCTTACAGCAAAAAGCAGTACGGGTGACTGCACTGTAAGAAGAGGTTTTAGATCACTGTAAAAACCGGCCTGCTTCAACAATCTGCTACAGCATGGAGCCATGCAGCTGGTAGAAGATACCCAGTCTAGAATCAGTTTCCTGATCAGAGAGCGAAGAGCAAGCTTCTGCAGTGCATGTGAGCATGGTACTAATGTGATTACTCAGCCTCTGCGGTTTGTCCCTCTGCGAGCGGCACAAACACAGTACAACCAGTACAGTACAAATTTAAATATTAAGTCTCCTTAGAAATGCTTAGACCTGACTAATTTTGGGCAACCTGGTCTAGTGGAGGGTGTCCCTGCCTGTGGCAGGGGGGGTGGGAACAGAAGATCTTTTAAGGCCCCTCCCA